AGAGGGGGATACACTGGACGACGGAAAAGAACCTAGAAGACTTGGATTTCGCCGATGACTTATGCCTAATGTCACATAAACTTGAAGATCTGCAGGCAAAAACTAACAAGTTGATAGAAGAGGCAGGCAGCTAAGACGGGACTTCAGGTGAATATAGAGAAGACAGAAGTGATGAAGATACCGCACCACCACCATCAACAACAACAACAAACTCCAATCACCGTCAACGGGAGAAACTTGAAGGAAGTAACCTCCTTCACTTATCTAGGAAGCACTGTTTCAACTACAGGCGGGACGGACGAGGACGTCAAAGTCAGAATCGGAAAAGCAAGACAGGCGTTCATTAGCCTGAAACCAGTGTGGAGATCTTCTGCACTCAGCATGTGGAACAAGATACGGATTTTCAACACCAACGTCAAGTCAGTGCTCTTGTATGGCTCAGAGACTTGGCGCGTCACGAAAGGATTTCCAATAAACTACAGACATTCATCAACAACTGCTTACGCGCTCGCTGCTGAAGATCAGATGGCCAGAAAAAATAAGCAACAAGGAACTCTGGGAACGAACCAACCAAGAACCTATCACGCAACAAATATGCAGGAAGAAGTGGAGATGGATTGGCCATGCACTGAGAAGGCCGACTGAGGACATCACGCGTCAGGCCAGTAGCTCGAGTGGAATCCCCATGGGAAGCGACGAGTTGGACGTCCGAGGGTGACATGGAGGAGGTCATGCGAGGAGGAAATGAGAGCTTCTGGGCTGTCGTGGAACCAGGTTCAAAAGATCTCAGAGAACAGAGGTCACTGGAGGCGTGCTACTGAAGCCCTATGTTCCACTAGGAACCCAAGGGACTAATAATAAATAATAATATTGTGTACAAAGTGAGGCGCTCCATTTCAGTGTTAAATGATTGTTGTGTGCCTCAATATGCAGTATTTTCTTTTCTCGTTCCTTTTATATAATTTGCCTTATTCTGTTTTATCTGATTTTATTGAGTATACTGATGACCTGACGGTTTCTATTCCAGTCAACTCTCACTCAGTTCACTCCGCGTTAAATGAATTCTTCTATGTAATTGACCAATGGTCTCTCTCAAATAGTCTCAAGCCAAACCCTTTTAAATGTCATATTCTTAATTTTAGCTTCAGGCGTAAAGAAGACTTGTGGCAGCTGCTTAAGTCCCATGGCTTCTGTTGTATTGACCATATTTCTGCAGAAAGTAAATGGAATGTTAACTATCTTGGATTGAGTTTTACTTCTGATCTTCGTTGATCGTCTCATATCTTGTTGACTTTAAAAAAATCTTTCATTTAACTTATTACATAAAGAAACTGAGGTTCTATGGTATAACTCAACCATTTCTTTTACAATTTATTGATTCCTGCATTTTACCTATTCTTGTATATTATTCCCCGTTGGTCTTTCCTGGTCTTCTAAAGAAGGATTATGCTATGTTGCGTAGGAATAATTTTGTTTTTATTTTTTATATTTTGTTTGTGCTTTGAAGTTTCTTTAGCGGTTTGATTGGTTTTACGGAGTAGGGTTGCTAGCCCTACGCCCAACCTTCCCTCTTTACCCGGACTTAGAACCGGCTAGTAACTAGTGAACTAGTTAACCAGTCGAGGTTAAAATCTGGGAGCACCGGACGGTTGTTTCATCCTAGTATGGGACTCCTCAGCAGTACGCACCCTCGACCCGGCTAGGGATCGGACTCAGGACCTCCAGGTTTCACGGCGAACGCGTTAACCATTCAGCCACTGGGTCAGGAAGCGCAGTCTCAACTACAGGCGGCACAGACAAAGATGTCAAAGTCAGAATCCGAAAAGCAAGACAGGCATTCATTAGCCTGAAACCAGTGTGGAGATCTTCTGCACTCAGCATGTGGAACAAAATCCGGATTTTCAACACCAACTCCAGTCAAGTCAGTGCTTCTATACGGTTCAGAAACCTGGCGCGTTACGAAAAGGATTTCCAACAAACTACAGATATTCATCAACAACTGCTTAAGCTGGCTCGCTGCTGAAGATCAAATAGCCGGAAAGAATAAGCAGCAAAGAACTCTGGCTGTTAACGAATCAACCAAGAAGCTATCGCTCCACAAATATGCAGAAGAAAGTGGAGATGGATTGGGCATACACTGAGTAAGTGGACTAGGGACATCACGCGTCAGGCCAGGTACTCGAGTGGAATCGCCATGGGAAGCGACGAGTTGGACGTCCGAGGGTGACATGGAGGAGATCGTGGGAGGAGGAAATGAGAGGTTGTGGGCTGTCGTGGAGCCAGGTTCAAAAGATCCCAGAGAAGAGAGTTGAGTGGAGACGTGCTACTGAAGCCCTATGTTGCATTAGGAACCCAAGGGATAAATAATAGTAATAATAGTAATAATGTTGCGTAGGGCTTTGAAAGCCGTCAGTCATTAGGGTGAGTGGTGTGCCTCTGGCTCAATGATTAACAATGTGGTTGACAGACATTTGAATTCTAGCAAGCACCTAGCTACAGTAATTTTAACTGACACTGGGCATCCACTTCATTCACAGCTCTTTCTCTGCAGGAACAGAAGAAATTACATCAGACTGTACTCTCGTACAGCTGAATACAAGAATTCGACTGAGCCTTACCCAGAACGCATATTAAGCCAGGGAAAAGTATTGGAACAGAACTCACACATCAACTTTGTAACAGTTTACAATCTCATTTCAATAATTTAATTAAAAATGTAAAATGTTCTCATTTTTAATATTCTTTACATTACTTGAGTTTTTACAATAACACAATTCGAAATGTTGTAAAGGAGTGTGTATATACATATATTTTGTTATTGTTGCAATATATCATGTCGAGAATTCGAAACTGTATCAAAAATTGTTTAGGATAAAGTGAATATTATCATTATTATGATTCATAAAAGTATGCAACCTCTGTGAACATCTACATCTATTATAAGGCTAAACTTATGCATTGTAAATCTTTTATTGTAACTATATTATTATTTTTATTCCATTATTTCCACCCATTTTGTCTTTTCTTTCATCTCCAAGATTCTCATTCGAAATTCCCACCACATTCACCCATACATGCTAACTTCTTTTCCTACAGATCATTATACATTTGTATTTATATTTATCGTGTTCATTGCCTTCTCGGCACCCTGATAAAGGCTATTGCATTTTTATGTATAAGGAGCAGAGGAAGGTATTTAGAACAACATAATCTGATTTTACTCCGCTTAACATTGTATTCTTTCTTGGCCGAACTCATGAGTAGAAGAAACACGCCTACTGAGTCAAAAAAAGAGAATTCAGTGAAGGAAATTTTCACTGTCAACGATTGCATTTTCCAAAGTTGTACAATCTTATATATATCCCAAACATATAACAGCCTACCACTAAACATTGGTTAACAGTTGAATGATTAATGTTAAAACTGGAGTGAATACTGGAGGCGAGTTACGTAATAATCTATCAGATAGTGTCAATAACGAGGAAGACAACATGGTGAAAACTGTTGGTAGACGCTCATTGCGACAGTTGACTGTCCATTTGATAGTTGTAAGGAAGGTGAAGGAAGAAACAACGGTCACAGTGAAGGTGATAATAGTAAACTATTTAATTATAATCAAGTGGAAGAGAGGAGTGGTAAAATATGGAAGGGTTAAGTCCATTACAAGATAAGATATTCGACATAAACCTGCAAAGATCAGGCCTGTACTAGTAAACTGTCAGCACTGCTGCCATGCATAAGTTTCGATAGCATTCTGCTTTTCCGCTGCCCCTTTAAGTATATGGATGATACTGAAAGTGGGCTTTGGTTGGGCTTTATTTTTCAAGTTAACTAAATGCTCAAGATCTGAAATGTTAACTGATTTAAATTATCTTGTCGACATCCGTATACGATGGCACTTGGAGATACATTTAGAAACTGTGCGCTTTGTGAGGCCTATCTTGCTGGCTCCACAGGAGCAGCTAAAATTTCGGATACAAATAAAACTGACCCAAAGCGGTAGCTTGTTCTTATCACATGCTGAAACCGTTTGCCGGCTAGAGAAGCTGACCAGTCGTTTGGAGCCGAAGAGCGTCCCATTTAGCAGTTTGGATAGCCGATTCTTCAGGATCTCTGCTGCCTTACCACGTCTGAAATCATTTTTCATAAATGAAGTCTTATTTGGAGCTGCTATTACTTGTTTCGCTTACTGTTTAGAACCCAAATGTTTTCAATAAATCTGGATGGGTATCCATTTGTACGTGGGTTTGTCAGGGCTTTTCCAGCTCATCATCGATAATGTAATTCATGGAGATTCTTCTGATTTTTGATGACAAAGAGTGAATGAGATTTATTTTTCTGCTGAGTGGCGTCTAACTATAAAAATTCATTCATTGTTCATTCCATGCTTACTTTATGTGGGTCGACCTGTAAAAGGAACCATCCAGTCATCTTTTCAGTTCAACATCCAGAAAATGAAACTCCGACTTCTCACTGAATTCTTATATGAAACTGGCCGATGAATGAAAATCAAATTTTTTTACGACTACAGTCCCAATATCCTTATTTTTCTTTCATGTGGTGAATATATCATCCATATCTCTCTCATACAGATAGAAACAACCACTTGTCGAGTGAAGCACACTACTCTCCAAGTTTGCTATGAAACAATCTATCAGCAGCAGTTCAGGTAATGACCCCACTGCGACCCCATCCTTTTGTTTGTACATTTTTCTGTTGAATTTGAATTGCACATTGAAATTGAATCTTGGAGTTCACTCATTTGAATAATGCTTTAGGATATTCATGTGAAAATTATTACCTTGAACTTAAATCAAAAACATTGTTTTTGTGGGCGGAATATTAGTAAAGAGATATACTATATCAAAAGAAATCAGTCGTCTATTAGATATGTTGAAATTATTTATTGAATGTACTTTCAGCTATTTTCTGACTAGTTGTATAATATACGACAGCCATTCGGTGACGGCATAGTATGGCAAATTGATCACATCCATAATTCAACACAGTTGAAGATCTTCTTCAAGTACTTTCATGAGACGAGATAAGCGCAAATTTACGGAATCAGATGGTTGTATTCTCTCACATAGTTCGGGAATAAAGAATGACTCATTATTGGTAGTAGTAGTAGTAGTAGTAGTAGTAGTAGTAGTAGTAGTAGTAGTAGTAGTAGTAGTAGTAGTAAGTAAATATTTATTTTTCAAGATCTCACGCAGTTGCTTATTACCCTTTTTAGTAACAATCATTTGAAATGTGGTTTCGCATTAAGATATTGATGAAACCAACTCATGATAGTTGACTTGACCTGTTCAAGTCTCTTTTTTAAAACTAGAAGAAGATCATTCATTCCATCCATTAGAAATGTTTCTTTTGTACGAATTTATTATCAATCTGTGCAGTTATATTCATAATTGGCAAGAAATTAGTCAGTTGCAAAGTCAAGATTGCTTGGTCAATATAGAAATGGTAGAAGTGGTGGTGGTTGTATTACCATTGAATTAAAATTTATTGAAAAAGAAGGAAGCTTTCCGAAGGTAGAATATACTTCATAAAATCAAGATCCAACACAGATAATAAAAATAATGCAGCATGCACTCCTGACGTGGGGAGGACTTTACTGCTACTGAAAACAAGGAATTGGTAGTCATCGAACCATCAGAATCAGATGCAGGAAGTTGTGTCATTACTTTGACGTCATTTTGAGCAGTAATTAGCGCTCAAAATATCTTACAGAACATAATGTTGTATCACTGAAGGCTACATCAAATGTGAAATTACATTCTACTACATTGCACAGGTTTTACAATTGAGTGAATGGAGTTGATATTTTCGTGCGAGGGTTAGTTGATAAACTTGTATTAGTTTCAAAAACTACAGCCCGATCCACAAACCGTTCTGCTTCTAATATTAGCTATATAAGACATCTTATTATTCCAAAATATCTTTGCATTCCAGTATCTGTCAATAAAGTCAGAAAGGCGATTGAACCTGTCCGCAGACTCTATCTTAAAGAATAAAACCTCAGAACAGTTCAAAAATTAACCATCATTTAGAATAAAATGGAACAACTGAAATGAAGATCTTAAACAACGGTGACTGTAAATTTCGAATGGAACCGTTTAATACAGCCAGATCACTATTCCACTGAAACGAGTGACATTAAAATGAAGCATCACTTACCATAAAAACAACAAAGTGAGTGATTAGTCTCTTCTCGAGCGTCTTAAGCTTCGACGAAACAATAGTACCCAAAAAAGGACTAAAATTCAAGGTCGTAGTAAATTTTATGAAGTCCGAAGATGCCCAACATAGCACAGAAGTGTCATTAGGCACAGCAAAGGATACAACCATTGCACAGGTTAGAGTAAAGTGTGTTTTGGCAGACAATGCAAAAGATAGGACGGGACTTAGCAAAACTTAAGATGGCATCTTTGAGTAATCTATGAGATGAAAATAGCATCGCAATAGTCATATGTGACACAGATTATCCAACAGTATTTATGGACAAAACAGATTATTTCAAGAAAACTGATGACCACACCCGAGCAGGACAATATAAAGCAATCAAGAAACCTATCGACACTTCCATGCAGCAGATTAAGAAATCTTCAGCTGATTTGTTTCGCCAAACAAAGCCATCTCTGAGTGATCCTAAGTTATGTGGTCAAATCCTTAACGCCAACAACCGTAGTAAATTTGCTATACTATTAACGTTCATGAACCAGCTTATCCCATTAGATATTCAAAAAATTAGACATATATGCCTTTTTGCCTTCCAACTGTACTACTGAATACTGTAAGTGGCTAGAAATCATCCACACACATGAATGCCGCTTTATTCAGGTCAAATCACAGTATTCAAAGCAACAGCGAGTTATTCTAATTATTCGTAGTTCAGTAGCAACCTAAGAGCTTCATCTTGACAATCATCGTGGATAAATGAATTCGTGTTATCCAAGATTGGGTTTAGGAGAAATTAGATGCTTCATATAGATGTTTATTAACAACACACCATTCCAGTTCAAGTGTTTTGTCTCACTAGACTGATAAGACCACTGTGGAATGTGTACTATCATAAAACCGGGAGTGGATGCTATCATATCATACTTCATGTCAATGTTAGTGTAGTCTGTAATAGTTACATCTTGCAAATAAACTGTTGAAGACCTTAATTAAGGATCATAAAATATCATTTTATTGGCAGAATGACAAATATCTCAAGTTCCTGTATCTATGCACCAGGAAAATGGCATAATTCAGAGATGAATTCGCTGTAATATCATGTGAAGAAAAAATTTGCTAACAGGCTATGAATGGTTGGCTAAAAAGTATCTACGTAACCGTGGACACCCACTGAAATCTGTCTGTGTTCAGAAACAAAAAAATATCCACGTGGTGCTACACAAAAAACCTAACTCTTATAATTTACCTGATGATAGATAGAAATGGAATCCAGGACGTGAAATTCTTTTTCTTCGGGAATCGTCAGCTATATTTATCTGCATTCTAGAGATCGATAGGATTCAGATATATCCAGCTTCCAAATCAAAAATAAGACGAATTTTACATCTACGATTTTAAACCATCATCAGGTAATATCGAGGCATTCACGTAGAAATCTATCTGCTATCAAAGGTCTATGATTTCCATCCAAAATCTAATCAACAACAAGAATAACAAACAGAAGCAAAGAAAGTAGAAGTACAGTGAAACTTATGCTCATCATATGTTCTGAAGGACACATGTCTGAAAGGTTCAAACTTATTTATCAGTCTAACAGTCTATCATACAGTTAATGTAAGACTGTAAGATCTCTGTATATTAACCTTTTAGGATACTAAGCTGGAACACAAATCAGTTGAACTTTATTTTACGGAAATCAGCAAGATTGGAGAAATTTGACATCTCATTTTATACATTCGAAAAGGAACCTTATAGAGATTCAACTCTTTTGGTATTATTTGAAGAAAGAAACATATGTTTCCCACCAAACGTTACGTTTGTTCAAAATCTAATCGACAAGAATTCATTAAATGCCCATTTTTCATCTCATTATTACTAAATTTCTGGCCAATCTAACTATTATCAATCTGCATATCCTTAATATTGGCGTGAACCTTGGGGACTGTGGTAGAATTCAATTCGATATTAGGCTTGTTTATTTGATTTATAACACAGTATGATACAGTATTATTTACTTGATGACGTTTCCAGCATAAATTATTGCTCATAAACATATCAATGTAATCATACTACTTTTGACAGCCTATCTGAAACATAAACTTAAGTCATCTTCGGGTGAGTCTAAATGGTTTAATCTAATGCCCAAACTATCAATCCTAGAAGAATTTATGGTTGACTTTGAAATACCCCAACATATGAACTAGCAAAGTACTTAGCATCGATATTGGGTCCTACTAAGAACCACTCAACTTCCAGCCTAGTAAACTCCTACGAGTTAAAACTCAAGCCTACAAATAGAGGAGGATGAAAAAATGGTCAGTTTCGATGTGACAAGTGACAATACCAATCAATATGGCACTAGAGGCAGTCAGAAATCAACTAAATATTGACTCAGAACTTACTCCTAGAACCAAGATATAGGTTGATGAGATCATATTAGGTGTACAGCTGTGCCTGACCTCCATAGTCTTCAAATTTTAGGACAAATATATAGACAAACAGAAGGAGTGGCAATGGGATCTCAAATATCCCCAATCGTAGAAGATATATTTATAGATAGTTGGGAAAGTGTGGCTTTACAAACGTTTAATAGTGCACCTATGATATGGTGACGATATGTGTATGACATGTGTTGAAATCGGAACATATAGACAATTTCCTCACGCATATAAACTCAGTTGTTGGAGCAAACCAATTCGCTTACGAGGTAGAAAATGAAGAAGAATGTCCTATATTGGATTGCAAGATAAAACGAGGGACAGACGGTGGTTTGGATACTACTGTCAAAAGAAAACCGACACATTCTAATAGGTATCTAGACTTCAGATCACCTCACCCAATATCAGTTAAGGCATGTTTAATTAAATATCTAAATGACAGAAGTCGAAAACTGACTAATCAGTGCAAAGACCTAAACAACGAACTGAAGCGCATAAAAGTAGCACTAATAGTTAATAATTATCCTTCGCAGTTTACTAAAAAATTCATACGAATACATAAGAAACGAAAAAATAACAGTAACGCGAGTGCGAATAACAACAACAACATGAGTAGAAAGGAGTTCACAGCCTCCATTGTGCTACCCTATAAGGAAGGTACATCAGAAACTTTACGTAGGATCCTTGACAAAGCTGGAATTAGGGTGGCATATTAACCTACAAACTGGCTCAGAGATAAGCTTTGTCGGCTGATATAAGCTTCCGATAGAACCAATTAAGCAAAATAATCTAATGTATCAAATTCCATGTAGTAACTGCGAGGTCAAATACATTGGTGAAACTAGCCGAAAATAAGAGTTTAGCTAAACATAGCATGACAGACCTAAATAAGATCAATAATTTAAAGAACTCGACTATTGCAATGTATGCATTAACACACGACCACACAATAAGGTGGGAGAAAACCATTGCACTGAAGTCCAAAATAGTGGAGAGAGAGATTGATTACTGAATCTTCATTTATCGAATCAACGCTCAACACATGTAACAGAAATGACGGAGCACATGTACCAGAGATATGGGAAATTTTATTACGAGTAAGAACAAATAATATCAGGTGACAAGACTATAAAAAGCAGACGCCGAAAGTAGTGTGATTACATTGATATGTTTTTCTGAGCGATAATTTACTCTCAGAACGTCATGAAGTAAATAATATTGTATCAAAGTATGTTATAAATCAAATAAACAAGTCTAATATGGAATTAAAATCCTTATGTCTGTCTATCAGTCTGAGAAGATAATTTGTTAATACGAATACTTTTTCAACTTGACTACCATTCGGCTCTTCATTAAGTCATTCTAAGGTAGAAGAAAAAAATGAATGTAGAACCTGACACAAAAGTCCATCACTTCAAAATGTAACAATTCATTATGGCAAATAAACAGGAATTGGACAGAAAGAGATGAAATGAAAGTAGACAAAAGTTTATGAGAGGAGAGAGGGAGAAATAAATAGAAGTTAACAAAACTGATGCGGAGTAAGGTCAAAGAAAAAGACTGATATCAGTTGAGGAACCATTGGAAATCTGGGAGCACTGGACAGCTGTTTCATCCTAGTATGG